AAAACCATGCATACACAAAAATTAAAACCAGATCTTTTTTGGGGCTTATTGATTACTGCTCGTACATATCCAACATTATTTCAAAATGAAGAAGTTATTAATGCCTTGTGCTCTATTATAGCATGCCATTCTACTGTTTCTACAAAACAACGCCAGTATAATATTATTTCAGCCGTAACATCAATTAATTTGATAATGGCTACACATGATAAAGTAACTAATTGGCCTGAAGCATTTGTGAAAGTATTTATTGAAGATTCAATGGGAGAAAGATTATGGGTGGATAATGAAGATTGTAAATTTTTTATTGATAACATCAAAGTAAGTATTGATACACGTCTATCTCCTTATATTCCATTGGACTTTTTGGATACTATGAATGCTGGAGAGTCTACACCATCACTACCAGAATTTAATGAAGTAACTGTAATGCCAAGATATAGTACAAATCAAACATCTATTGAACACTTGTTTATTGATGTAGCTAAAGAATATTTGGTTCGAAGACAATCTACTGAAGGAATATCAAGGAACTTATTGAAACTTTTATCTGTAGCTGCTGGAGTTCTAGAGGTTTGTAGCAATTAATCATTAAATTAATGTAATTTTTTAATAGTAATGTATAATAATTAATAAAAGTAAAATTTATAATGCATAAACAAATTATAGGTTCGCTCTATGGTAGCTGGAAAGTTAGAAGTTTGGTTACAAAATGCCAAATTAGTAAGACCAGCTCAAGAACTTTTACTTGCTGTCTGTGTGAATTGTACTTCTCGTACTCAGAGAGATTTTGACATTATATCCACTATTGTTAAAATGAGATTGAAAAATAAGTCAATTGGCAATTTTTATGTATCTTGTATCAAGTAAATTTGATTTGTTTATTAAGATTTAAATATAAAATAATAGTTTAAAATAATTTTTTAGAGAATTAATTACTGCTAGCCCTGCTAATTTACCTGTAATAATAAAAAATGTTGTTTATAATGAAATGTCTACTTCACGCAATACGAGTAATATGTCAATTCTTCAAGTTCTATTTAAAGCAGAACCTGATCAAAGTGCATTACTTCTTGCTGATATTTTCCAGGTTATTATTGAATATTAAAAATAAAATTGTATTTTAAAGTTATTAATTTTGAAA